ATGGGAATAATTCTGAGAATATGCAAGACAGCATAAATGAGTCATTGGTAATTATTCTAGCTAAAATAATCTAATAAATTTTTAATGGATTAAGTCATTTGCATTTATTACAAGAATTAAATAATTAAAGAATAATAAATGGGTTACTTTAGCCAAAACCAAGAAAAAATTACATTGAAAAATGAAAGGTGACATATCTTAGTTCAATAAAGTGTATGTATTTATTTTACAGAGGTGAATTAAAATAATAATTTATGTATAGAATGTCCTTAACCTAAGAAAAATTTATAGTCTGAGTAAGGAATTAATAAGAAAAATACAATCTAATATAAATTAAAAATATTTAGATTTTGTAATTGAATTGTAAATTCCTAAATTAAATTTTCTTGAATTAATGCAAGACTCTTTTAAAACAATCATAGTGAAAATTTCAAATTCAAAATATAATCCAATTTAAAAGAGATAAAAGTAGAGAAAAAGTTAAATTTTCGCTGAAAGTATATTTTAACAAATAAAATGAAATCAATAAGAACTATAAAGCTCAAAATAAATTTAACTTCACTCCACATATATCCAAAATATCTTTTAATTCAGTGTTTTAGAATATGTTGTAGTTCAAAAATATATAATTTATGAAAAAAAATAAAATAATGTTATTAATAGAGATCAATGCATATTAGAACAAATTCCAAATGTTCATAATTGTGAAATGAAAAGGATTTCAGTATTTAAATTAAGCAAATAAAGTAGGAAATGGAATAGTTTTTTTTGGAATTAAACCTTCCTTTTTACTATTTTATATGACTTAAAAATAATTCTATGTATCTGGACAAATGATTTCTGTGTACAATATTCAGGCTCAAACATTTATATTAATTCAATTTTGCTACAAAACTACAGGGTATAGATCAAATAAAAAGTTCTAAAACTTGAGTAAATTTAACTTTTTGTAGTTCAGTCCTGGACGAATTTATCAAATTAACATTTTATTCAAATCAATGTAGAGGTTATAATTGTGTATTTTTTACCTAAACTAAAAACAATACATAATGTAAATTTATAAGTACAAATAAATGTTTTATCAATATTACTGCATATAAATATAGAGGGTATCTAGCATATTAAAATGACGAAGGTTATTGTATATTTAACATAGAAAATACTTTAATTAAACTACAACTTAAGGCTTTATCTGAACAGATCAGCTATAAATTAGGAACAAAATTTATGTGCAAGATAGAACCTTTTGAGTATTTTTCTTATTACAAATATACTCATTGTCATTTGAGTGTGTTTTTATCATAAATACTAAATTTAATTGTTTCTATATTTTGTATTTTTATCTCTTTTTCATTCATTCTTCAATAAGTATAAATATTCCTCTTTTTTATTTATATCAATTTAAATTTTATCATATTGGTAAGCTTTATCTAAAAATGAATAATTCCATTTCATCTTCCTTTATTGAGATGTACTTTTTGTAATGAAAAGCCAATTAATGAAATAATCCAATATGTCTCGATATCACTTCATCTCAGGGTCAATTAATCTTATCTTTTTAAAAAACTTAATCACATTAAATCTTCAATTAAACTAATCTAAATACTTATTAAATCCAAATCTGAAAGATAGGTGTATATATATATATATCTAATTAAGTTTAAATCCAGCAGAAGACGTAAACTAAATTATTAAAATTAACTAAAACTAATTAAAGGAAAAGTTTGCGAATGAGTGTAATTAAAATGCTTAGATAATCTAAGATTTAGATAATTATTCCAAAAAAATTTGTTAAGAGCTTAACTTATCCGCTATCTTGATATACTCAAAAAAAATTTTTCTTATCATAAAAAATTAAACTACTATTAAAATCATTTAAAAAAGCTTTACTCTTACAAAGTATGTTTTAATTACCTCTGTTGAATATACTCTCATTTTATGAAGCGTAATAATATTAACTTTTATCCTGGAAATGTGAACGAGTTATATGAAAGGCACCAAAAATTACTCTGATTTTCGCTTCTCCTTACTTTTCATCTCTGATTATACTTATATTTAAAATTAAATACCTCAGATGTATAATAGCATGGTATATTTGCTCTTAAATAATTAAATCAAACTTATATGGCCCGAATCTTAGGTATATTAATATAAATAAAAGGCTTGTCCAATCTACATATACTATATGAGCTTCATATCAGGAATTCCAACCTGACATCTACTTACTATTTAATCGATTTACAAAACTAAACCTACAATTCCCTATGTATCAGAGAAATTGTAAAAATATATGTAATTGGAATTATTTATTGCACTCTTTAATTGAGGGATTAATATAATTAAGATAATTAAAACACAAATATGTAGAATGGATGATCGTAAGAATATGGAAAAGAATGGATATCGAGCTACAAGTTTTGAACGCCAAGTCCCCCGTATCGAAATGACCTAGATATTCCTCTCAAACCTTTTTTCTCTCTGAAGAATTAAACTTATCTATATTTCCGGTTTTATTTCTATTATTTTTTTTTAATAATCATCTATAATAACCATTCATCTTCCTTTCATCTGTTAACTAATTCTTAAGATATTTAATGTTAGAATCAAATTTCAAGTTTTCATTTTCAATCAGATAGACTTGAATAACAAGCCTAGATAGCAGCTTTTTTCAGTTCTTTCCTTAATATGAAGTTTCACTTAGGAACTTATACACTCGAAAATAATTCTCTCTTCTCCTCTTCGAATAGTAAATTTTAAATTTTCCTCCAAATGAATTGATGACATTTTAAATTTTTTTTTTTTATCTCTGTTTAATGATGATTGATCTTTCAAACGTTGACCATTTCCCTTAAGTATTGAATTCCTTACTTACCTTCCATGATTTCCTGATAAATTAGTTTGTTTAAAAAGAAATAAAAGGTTAATTAATACACATTTTAGTGTTATTTGATAAAAAGGAAATAATTATTTAATTAGAATCAATTTATATCTGAATGAAATGATTATCAACTATAAGACTAGGTGAAGAGAATTATTTTAAATTGCCTAAATCTAAGGATATTAAAGGATTATACTGATTTATATAACTAAAATTGCCATCTTTGTGTGGAAAATAAAAAGGGCATTAGCAAAATGATAGATTAAACTAATTGAGAGAATTAGAAAAATTAGTAAATATGTTGAATAAACAATTAAATAAAATAAATTTAAAAAAGAAATTTTTAATTCTTGTTTAAGTATTTTTAGAGGACTTTTAATAAAATAAGACTGATGAATTTGTTAAATCATCAGAAAGGAATCTAAATAAGCAATTACACTCTAGACTTTGTAAAGTTATTGAAAATGAGTTGTGCTAATACCTCTTAGGAAGTCAAAATAGAATTAAACTAAAAATAACTTTTGAATATATAATTTTATTGTGTTTTAGTTCATATAACAAACATAATTAGAAATTCTGTCCGTATTATTGCTTGTAAAATATTTGATTTTTTATCAATAAAATTACAATATGGAAAATAAATCTAATTTATACATCAATGATAAATATAACTTTTAAAACATATGTATTATGAGGGTAAAATTTAAGAATTTTAGTTTTATTTTGATGTAACATAATAATTAGTATGAAAACTTTTTATCAATTGAAAAAAATGAAAAAATTGATTATCTTCCATTTAATTTTTTTTCAATTTTTTGAATCAAAGTTAAGCCTCTTTCTTAATTGCGATGTTATGATTGATATATTTTTAATAAATATCTCGTGTCTTTAGTTTTAGACTAATTAATTATTGAATTTACCATGCAATCAATTGTTTTTAATTGGATGACAAAAAACATTTTTGTTGTTTTTTGTTATGGTGATTAAAATCATGATGCTTCAGGATAAGTTTTTATGACTATATTTCTTGCAACTTATTTGTTGTCATCAATTTATTTTTATAATTAACAAGAATTATTATTAAAAAATGTATTTTTGTTATTTTTAGTACAACAAAATTATCAAAGGATTAATTAGAATAATAAAACATTTTTAATGATTTATTTAAAATTAAAGCATGGGAAATATGTTATATATAAATTGATTTCAATTCAAATTCTTATCCCAAATGTAATATCATAATTACTCTAAAATGTTTTAGTTTTTCATTTTGTTTATATTTATATAAAAAGTTTTTAAAATAATAAATCTT